ATTTCAAATCTACGAAGACAATCCAAAGAAAGACGAACAAATATATACAGAATTCACTGCAATGTCATGGTATTATTTGCAAAGAATGTTAAATCAGAAAGTCGAACTTCCTTTAGCAAATATTTACAGTCGATATGCAAGAGATGAACCATATTTATTTAAAGATGTTTTCGACCCAGCTGCTATTATTGTTCATGCTTCATTTTCTGGCGCCCAAAACTCTTTCTTATGCTTGGCAAATGACTTTTACGAAAAACCTACAAAGTTATACGAACCACCAAGTGGAAGTATTTCAGACTTTCAAGTATGGTTTACTACAGATGGAAGAAAAAGAATAATTCCATTATACCATGCGTTTTACTTAGAACTTAGTTTCATATACAACTACTATCGAACGATAAAAATATAATTTTTTAATACGGTTGAGGTGTTGGATTTGGTTGCCAACTAGACTGTGGTGCAGGTTCAGGCTGTTGTATAACAGGAGCTTGCTCTTCTGGTTCAGGGTCTTTAGGTATAATACCAACGAACTGACCTACTCTTTTACCAATATTTTTGACTCCGTTCCATACTCCTCTTCCGACAGATTTTATTCCATTCCATATACCTCTTCCAACATTTCGAAAGAAGTTTCCAATACTACTGAAGAAACCCATTTTACTATATGTAAAAATCTAATGTCCGCCTAGTCTCTTACGTTTCCTGTTGAGTTCCATAGCATTCTTTAACTGGAGCTCATACATTCTGTTTCTCCTCTGGTAGAAAACATATTCTGGGTCAACTCCTGTGTTCGCGTCATCTGCATAAAGTTGTTTATATCCCACTTCAGGGTTTGTATAAAACTCTTTCCATCTCATATTTGCATACCATGGTGGCAAACCTAACGCAGCGTCATTTGACATGGCAGTTTGCATTTGTACATCTGTTGGCACTTGACCATAGTTTGCCATTGCAGTTTGTATTCTAACTTCATTTGGAATATTCTCTGGGTTTGGTTGTCCAGGTTGCTGTGCATTCGCTAAGTTCTGTGCGTCCATTTAATATTAGATAAAAATATCTCTTACGAGTACATATACTGAACATTTGCAGGCATTGGTTCATCTTCATATTCTCTGTACTTTTCTGCCACGTCAAATAAATAAATGACACAATGGAAAAAACCTAAAACAAGTAGTCCTATTTCAAACCACATTTACTTACTAATAAAATTTCTTTGTTATGACACTTTCTCCAGTTTATAGGACCTCTCTCATATTCTATCTTGTCATATCTAAACTCATAGTCATGTATGTCCTCTAACCATCTCATGACACTTTCCAAACCACTTTTATCGGATGTAAAGTAAAAGCATAGATGGTTATGTAAAACGTCTAAAGTTTCTAAAGAGTCTCTCAAAGTCCAGTCTACTTGGTATTGAAAATCCCATGTGTTATAGAACGGCGGGTCCACTATAAAGAAAACATTTTCCTTGTCTTTATATTTTTCATACAACTCTGTCCAATGACATCTCACAAACTCTATACCCTCAATATATTTTTCTATGTTCTCTTTGAAAACATTTGTATAGTTAAGATATAAAACTTTTGACATAAGTGTTTCAATGTCATGAACTCTTATAGCACCACTATATAATAGTCTAGCAGATATACTATCCCAGTCAATATACTCTGCCTTTTTCAAAACCTCTCTGACAGTATTTTTCTTATCTAATGGTATACGTTCCATCTTACCTATAGGTATCTTTTCTTTTAACTCTTTCAATATTTTGTTTGTGTCTGGTATATGTTTGAGACGGTCCATATAGTTGTCGAAGTCATTGCATATAATCTTTGAGTCTGGGAATATTGTATGGCACAAATGAGATATATAGAAACTTCCACCGAACAAGTCTACAAATGTTAGACCATTCGGTAGTTTCTTAAGTTCTCTCAATAGAATATCTTTACATCTACTCTTATTTCCAAAGAAGGGTAACGGTGGTTTTGTAAAATTCATTTTATATATATAATAAAAATGTTTTTTCCTGAAAAGTGACAGAAAAGTGACAAAACATGTACGAAGAAGTCTTGAAAATTCAAGAGGGTAGAAAAGAGGTTAGAAAAGAGGTTATATCTAACCTTCTACCCTAAACATTATTTTTGTCTGATTTTACGAAGAAGTCTTGACAAAACATGAAAACATATATAATTTGTGAAAAGCTCCTGGAAGACCCGTATATAAGAACTTCATTTATACTAAACATCTTCGGGGCTAGAGGGCACGAAGTGCCTGGAAGCCCCACTACCTTTTTTTTTTTTTTTTTTTTTTTTTTTTCTTCTATTTTTTTAGGACGCCATACCCATTGAAATCTCCTCTCAGGACGCCATAAACTATTCAATTATGGTGTAAACTTCTCAAAAATTGAATAGTTTACATCAGGACGCCTTAGGACGCCAACCCTTTACGCGCCAAAATTAGGCTATAATGTATGTAGATGAGGACTTTCTTCAAGGTAGTCCTCATCTACCTACATTATATAACCATGTTTCCCATATTTTTATTTGAATGTGAATGTGTAATTCTCAATTCCAGGACTGAGTGCATGGTTGCAGCGGGTTACTATATGCTCTTGCATCCATGTAGTCAGATCTGGAAATTGGCTTACTTTTCCTTTCGATGCGAATGTGACTAATACTTTTCCAATTGTGCACATATAAGTGCAGGGTACATCACTTGTACCCTGCATTTATGTGTGAAGAACTGAAAAATGACGTATTTTACATGAAGAATATCACGTCGTTATTTTATTTTGGAAAGGAGTTTAAATTTGTAAGCTATTATCCTATTACATTGCAAACGCAACTTCCTTTCATCAATAATTTCATTTTAATAAATTATAAATATCACATTTAGCATAAAATTCTCAAATAATACTCACTTTCTCATTTTGATCATAAATATTGATACTTTATAAATACAAAATTTTTAAATTCTTTATTTTTCCTATGAAATTTGTAGTTTTTTCTTTGAATTTCAGAATTTTCAATTTTTTTTTGGAAATTTTTATTCAATTTCGGATTTATTTCATTCTATTCTTTATATATAATAATTTTATTCAAGTTTATTATTTAAAAATTTCAATACATACGATAATTTTTCATTCAATTTTTAAACGAATGTTTTGATGGGATGAGCTTACTGAGCATAAGCTCATCCCATCAAGATATTGCATCAAAACTCTGGCCTTCATCAAGGCCAGAGTTCATAATTCATCACCTCAGTGCCAAGTTCCTCGAAGGTCGTCCTCATTAGGATCGATCCGAGAGGAACTTGGCACTGAATGAAATTCACAAGCTCTGGCCTCAGAAAATGCCAGAGCTTCGCAAGCAATCCTCGGGGCTGGTTTCCTCAAAGACCGCCCTGATTCGGGGCGGCCGGAGAGGAATCCAGTCCCGAGAGAGCGTTTATAGGAAGCGCTGGCCTTTTTCTGAGACCAGAGCCTGCAAATACAATCCTCAGGGCCGAGTTTGAGGGAGATCGTCCGCATTTTTGACGATCCCATCTCCTCTCGGCCCTGAAAGACCAATAGACAAAGGTTCTGGCCTCAACAGGAACCAGGGCCTCGCATACAATTCTCAGGGCCAGCTTTCTCAAATGCCGTCCTGATCTAGGGCGGCAGGAGAGAAGTCCGGCCCTGGGAAGCAGTAAATTCGAAGCTTTGGTCTCTGCAGAGGCCATGGTCTGCAAGTACAATCCTCATGGTGTAGTTTCTACCTGATAGTCCCTCATGAGGACGACCAAGTTAAAACTCTGCCATGAAAGAAAGGAACATGCATGCTCTGGAGCCTTATGAGGCCAAGTCTTCCAATACAGTCCTAGAGGCTGAGTTTTCTGAGAATTTCCACATCACGGACAATTCTCAGCGGAATCCGGCCCCTGGGATCATTAAATACGAAGCTCTAGCCTTTCTTGATGCCAGAGTCTGCAAGGTTAATCCTCAGGGCCGAGTTTGAGGGAGATCACCATTATCAAGGACGGTCTCCTCTCTCCTCAGCCCTGAAACACCTATGGATACAGGATCTGGCTGTTGCTGAGGCCAAAGCTTCGCTTCCTAATCTCAGGGCCGTTTTTCTCAATTGCCGTCTTGTTCTTGGCGGCAGGAGAGGAATCCAGCCCAGGAATCGATAAATACAAATCTGTGGCCTCATTATAGACCAGGGCCTGCAATTTATTTTATATAATACTTTTTTTATTTAATATTTTTTTTCAATGATTTGTTTTTAAAGATTATTGATACAGTATCTTTTAATATTTAAGTAAAATAGCAAAATACCCTTTGAAAAACTATTGTCAGACAATATTTTATAATCTCTATATTCATTCATAAAAAAAATACGTCTAGTAATGCTCTGCATAAGTGGACAATAAAGTAATAAGATTGCTCTTTTATATAATAGAATGCAATTGCTCATTTATTAAGGATATATTTGTAATCAATTGTGATCTATTTAAGAAAAATAAGAAAACAGCACCAAATTCATTTAGATGCATCTGTATATTCTATATTTTATAGCTGCACTATTACAATTGTTGAAACTAAATCCCAATATCCTCCGCTCATTAATTGATGAAAAAGTGATAAAAATTTGAGAGGTCATATTAAAAAAAAGTCACTTTTTAATATAGACTCAGACTTTAAAATTCAATATTTGTTCAAATATCAAATATTTACTATAAAAAAAGAATATAATTTTTGTTCTTCTTCTTCTTCTTTTGTTTTTTTATTATGATTTTGTTTTTGGCCTTTTGGATATATATATATATTTGGGCCTAATAATATTTGGGATAATATTGTATCCCTTTTTATTATAAATATTTTTTTGTTTTGTTTTCGTGCATTTAACAAAATGGAAGCACAAGCTCCAATAAATTGCAAAGGCAATGAGTTCAAGTATTAGGATAACAATGAACTCATATATGGTTGCCTTGCTTTGATATCACAAGGTGCGTGATATCGATTTTTATAAACTTTTATATAAGTATTGAGCGTCAACGATAAGGTCGTGTGCAAATTCGTCAACTCTCGGGTATAAATTTGAATCCCAAAATCCGCAAACTTCGGAAATTTGAGATTTTGTAACGTCAATAGATGCATATGATTCATCTTCGACTATAACATAAAGGTCTAGGTGTTCGTCTAAATTAGGAACTTTGTTTTGGGGGCGGTGCCATGTGAGGTGAAATTTATCATACACCGATTGGACCTTTTGCTTTCCCGAAAACATAGAATTTATATTGGGGGCCAAATATATGTGCATATATCTATACTAATCAAGCCATATTTACTCATATAGTATTGAGGAATAATGTGTTTTATATAAGATATGAATTTCAAAAGTTTTGTTTTATTTCATTTTGAATACAATGAGGTATCTATATATATACTCTATATTGTGTTTGTAAACTCATTTTGGTCACATATCCATTTTTTAATCTGCATCTTATTTGAGATTTCAAATTTTTATCGACAATCATATATGATCACATCGGCATTTGGAGATACTTATCTTGTATCTCCGAATATCGATGTGATCATTGTATTTAATTGTATATTGACCAAGAGATTCCGATGCAGAATATTCAAAGTAGATAGTTTTTCCATTCTGTACACATAGGTGTAGGGTCTATCACTGGCACCCTGCACCTATATGTGCAGAATGGGAAAAGCTTGCACTTTTACCGTTCGATGCGAATGTTGCAAACACTTTTCCCATTCTGCACATATATATGCAGGGTCTATCACTGGCACCCTGCACCTATATGAGCAAATCAGGAATTGCTTGCACTTTTTCACTTGAATGTGATTCATCGAATTTCAATTCGAGAAAGGAGTTTACAAATGCAGGGTATTGTTCCTTTACCCTGCATTTGTAAACTCCTTTCTCGAATAGCTTGCACTTTTTTCAAAGAATGTTAAACATCGAATTTCAATTCGAGAAAGGAGTTTACAAATGCAGGGTAAAGGGACAATACCCTGCATTTGTTAACTCCTTTCTTGTAAAACCTTCCTCCAAAAAAATATAAAGATCACATTCTTCTTAAAACTCTCAAAATCTCATTATTTCAATCTTATAATCATAAATAAACATACTCTTTCTATCTAATATTTCTCTATTCCTTAATTTTCTTATGAAATTTGTTATTTTTTATTTAATTTTTAAAATTTTCAATTTTTTTGGATAATTTTATTCAATTTTATGATAATTTATTCTATTCTCATTATATAATAATATTGTTCATTTTTATTTTTTTAATTTTTCAATGCATACGATAATTTTTAATTCAATTTTTAAACGAATGTTTTGATGGGATGAGCTTACTGAGCATAGGCTCATCCCATCAAAACATTCCCTTAAAAACTCTGGCCTTCATCGAGGCCAGAGTTTACAATTCATCAGCTCAGAGCCAAGTTCCTCGACGGTCGTCCTCATTAGGCCCGATCCGAGAGGAACTTGGCTCTTCATTAAAATCACAAGCTCTGGCCATTGCTAAGGCCAGAGCCTGCAAATACAATCCTCAGGGCCGAGTTTTGCGATGATCGTCGATCATGTCGACGGTCTCGCAAGAACTCGGCCCTGAAAGACATACAAATACAGGCTCTGGCCCTAGCAAAGGCCAGGGCTTCGCTTACTGTCCTCAGGGCCGGCTTTCTCAAATGCCGTCCTGATCTAGGGCGGCAGGAGAGGAATCCGGCCCTGGGAACATCCAAATACGAAGCTCTGGCCCAAGCAAAGGCCAGAGCCTGCAAAATACTCAATGTTCAACAATTACAAATCTCATGTCACCCAGAAAGCTATGAAGGAAGCCCTTTCTCTAGGTTAGGACTTCCTTCATAGCTTTCTGGTACTGAGTGGAGTGGTTTTGGCTTCCATTGCCGCTCACTCCAGTAAGATCACGAGATTGTACAAAAGCCACGGCAAGTGCATTCCAACACCATCAATACACTTGCCGTGGAATACGGTTGCGAGTGCCTGCTGCTTCAACCGAGATTTACAGCAGACACTCGCAATGATAACTAAAATTCATCATAAAGCTGGGAAATGGGCCTTTTCTCAAGGTCAAAGCCCATTTCTCAGCTTTATGATATTGAAACGAACATTTTGAGAGGTTATTACTGTTTTTCCCGGAATCATCTTGAGATTCGGGGAAAGTCATAGCAAGTGTAATCTATTAGCATAGATACACTTGCTATGACACATATATGCCAGCATCTGCTGCTTACCCCCAAATAAGTAGCAGATGCTCGGCATCACATCTTGAGATCCTTATTATCTGCGTATTTTTCATTTTAATATATATAAATGTGTGTGTCTAACACAAGTCTATATGCACCATGTAAAATATACACTAATACACACATATTGATCATAATTAATAAGATATCAAACTATAAAAACTGAGATATTACTATAAACTATATGTATTATTATTATATAGGTACCATACTATAAGGTCATATGAATATTATTGAAATTAGACACACTTTATATAATTTTATAATGTGAATAACTTGGGTCATAATTTTTTACGTAATTCCTACACGAAATGATCGGCATTACCCTAGTCTATCTGCGTGCAAAATACCAAGGAACAAATCAAATACTCACCATATCTTTTTTTAAAAAAGGTCCAATCGGTGTATGGTGATTTTCACCTCACATGGCACAACCCCTTTGTTTTGACTTCCGAAAAGTTCATTGAACTGTGAACGAAGCCAAAGTTTCAGACTATTCTCCGAAACTTTGAGCTTGATGATGAACTCGAATATGTTCATCTCAATTTGATGGTGGGATCCACAAACGCTAGTTGCAGACATCAAATATAATTTCAAGCTGCCAAGAAAAATTTTTCAAAAAATTTAAAATTTGATAAAGTGCTATAATCATTATCTTAAGATCGAATCATTAATAAAATAATACAATGAGCACTCAAAACTTTTGAATGTATTTGAAACTTTTTTTAGTCAAATTTTTCTCAATATTGTTTAAGTATACAACTAGCTGTTGATTTATCATGAAAAAATTCTAGTCAAAAAAAAAACATCACTTTTTTTTTAATATTATATTATCACTATTTATACTATCGTAACAAGTATGATAAATTTTTCGAAAATTTTTAAAAAATCCAGACTATCGTTTTGTCAAACAAAATCATTTTTTTCATCATATGTGCAGTGCTAAGCGTATTATGAAAAGTATCACATGGGACTTTGGAGGTTCTAACGAAACTATATACGAATGCAATAGCAAAGGTAAACTTATTCTAAGTAAGAAAAACCCACGCACACAGAAACAGATGTCATCAGATTTAGCTAAATTCTATAACCCTTCATTGGAATCATTTACTCCTATGAATATTCCTATGCATCCTATTGATTTTCCTGCTCCTTTAATAGTCCAAGAACAAAAGCAACAAGAAGTAGAACAACAATATGAACTACAATCATTTGGAGAAATTGCGGATGTTGATCTTTGCAAAGACGACTTCATTCTCGATAATTCATTCGAAAATACTCTTAATGACGAAGAATTTTTTTTTGAGACTTTTGATGTTATTTGAGGATTTCATATCCTTTTCCTTTTATTTCTTTTTCATTTTTACTGGGCATTGGCAATCCCATTTTTTAAAAGTGCCTTAAAAAAACTAATTTATAAAAAAACATAAGTTTTTTTTTTAGTTTTTTAATTATCACACATACTTTTTTTCAAGCTTATTACAAAACTTGAACATGTTGTTTTAGATCATGCTATATTCATTCAAAATGAAATATTTAATACGCATGATATATTGTCAATTTCGTCATAAAATGAAGGACAACGCTCAATACTTTAGAAAATAAAGTAGTTTCACTATGAATTTCATACAATTTCTTTAGATATTGATGTATTAACAGTTTTATGACGACGATCACAACTGCACAAGTAATTACGTTCGTCTTGATAAACAGTTTTATGGATTTAATTTCTATAATAAAATTTATTTTATTATTATTTATATAATATATACACACATATTTATTCAAACAAGGTTTACATAGCAGATGTAGAGCTTTGGCGTGTAATTTCGAAATTGAACACTCCAACTTTGTCTCTTGAAATGTAAGAAACGTTAGAATTTGAGATTTTAGAAGTTCTTGACTTTGATGAGACTTTACTTTGTGTTGATATTTTACTATGTACTGAGGTATCATCTTTCTCTATCTTTTGAGGAATAGATTTTTGTTTAGAATCCATCCTACTGCAACAAGAAAATCTGTACACATGTATTGCAAGAAATTTACAGGAGAAATATCAAAAGTTGAAGTTTTCGTATCATCAGACGGAAGAAGGAAATGTGCAAATGTATCAGTTTTATCATATATTGGTGCATTTAACTTAATATACGGTATCAATTACACGAAAGTTGATGGTCAAGTTCTTTATGCAAACATTTGCGGTTATGATGTTATCAACATCCAAAATGAAGAATTGTTTTCTATTTTCATCTCGGGTGGTAATTTTACATCAGAAAGAGAATTATACGAGGAATTATCATTATTCGGTCAAGTTTTCAGAGTCAAACTCTTGAGAGGATGTGCAGTCGCTCAATTCTATAACGAAGAATCGATGAACAGAGCATTAAACGCGAGATATATTTGCAATGGTAAAATATCAAAGAAGACTTCTAAACAAAAATCTATTCCTCAAAAGATAGAGAAAGATGATACCTCAGTACATAGTAAAATATCAACACAAAGTAAAGTCTCATCAAAGTCAAGAACTTCTAAAATCTCAAATTCTAACGTTTCTTACATTTCAAGAGACAAAGTTGGAGTGTTCAATTTCGAAATTACACGCCAAAGCTCTACATCTGCTATGTAAACCTTGTTTGAATAAATATGTGTGTATATATTATATAAATAATAATAAAATAAATTTTATTATAGAAATTAAATCCATAAAACTGTTTATCAAGACGAACGTAATTACTTGTGCAGTTGTGATCGTCGTCATAAAACTGTTAATACATCAATATCTAAAGAAATTGTATGAAATTCATAGTGAAACTACTTTATTTTCTAAAGTATTGAGCGTTGTCCTTCATTTTATGACGAAATTGACAATATATCATGCGTATTAAATATTTCATTTTGAATGAATATAGCATGATCTAAAACAAC